AGGGGAGACAAGAGAAAGAAATAAAACACAGCAACCAATTCTTAAAATATCCGTTCTGAAACTGAAACTCAGGAACAGGAAGAGTCTAACAAATGTGTCTTTTTTGCTCATTCAAAATATTCCTTTGCTTTTTCATAATCACATTTATGATTACTGAAGCACTACATATAGAACTTCTAGTCCATAGATCAAAGAGTATGAAGCAGCTGATCAGAGTTAAGAACATTTTGCTAATTCCATGAAGCCTGAAAATAGCCTCCATTGATATCAGTGGAGGCCGCAAGGTATCTTCAAGAACAGTTTGCTAATGGGAAAGGGAAGAGAGCTAACCTTTTATTCCACAATGTTGCAGAAAAATATCACGTGTATGCGCACACACACATACCAGCTAAAATCACTCTATTAACATACACTGAATCTGTTTCAAAGTATTATTTTTGTGTTCATGTGGGAGATTAGGGGAAAGGGGAGGAATGAATAATGTGTGTTGTGCAGCAATGGGAAAATGTGTTGAGGATTGCTTCTCAAAATGAGGACGTTCTGCTCACTACTGGTTGTGACCACATTCACCAAAGACTTAATACCCCAATATTCTTTCTCCAAGCCAATCAGTTATTGGGCCAAAAAAATATCTGCTCTTCTTTTCAGTTTCAACTTTAGTTGTGGTTTTCTATCCAGCCAGTAACAAAGAAGCGTTTTTGTTTGCTGCAAAAACAAATATTTTCTTTCCCCAAAAAGGACAATGTTGGAGGAGATGCTTAAAGAATGTAATGGACAGAAATGTTCAGTGATTTCAAAAAGTATCCTAGATTATCCTCATTCCACTTTTTAAAAAATCTACTATACCTACAATGGCTAATTTTTTTCCTGGTATACTTAAGGATGGAAAAGAAAACCTATATAGACATTATTGTGAACTTTGGAGTTGTTGGCTAATCATCCAGGATGTACTAAAGGCATATTTTTGTTTTTCCCTCAATGTCTGAATAGCAGCATGAGAGCTTCACAAAGTTTTGGACAGGCATAATCTACTTAGTGATCAACTGCTTTCCATAACTAGCTTTCCACTGCTGAGTTAGACCTTTATATAGCAATGAGCTAAAAAGTACTTTATTTTTTCTTTATTATATCCAGACAAAATCCATGATGTCTTAATTTCCTCATTAGGCACAAAACTGTTTGTTTTACAAATACCTTCTTCTTCATTTTTACATTAGCTTATTGTGGTCATTTAGACTAACACAGAATGTTCAAAAATAAGACCTAAAACAAGAACACATTCTTCCAGTAATATGTGTTATATGCACATTTCTTGATATTCAAGCTATACCTTTTGCTAATTTTGAGTTACCTATCATTTACCAAAGCAACTTAGAGAACTGACTAATTTAATTAATTGCTATCTTGTAACACAGGCAATGGTACAAAAATTGGCCATTCTGTTAAGAATGACTGGATACTAATGCGGTAAAAGGCAAAGTATATAAAATTCACCTTAGCTACCATGTTCAATAAAATGGGAACTACAAAGTTACAATTAATATTATTGTAAAGGGGATTCACAGAAGAACATGGCCCATAATCTTTATTTCTCCAATCTTACAGAGATAACTACTGTACACCAAGCAAAAGGAGTACAATTTAATGGATCCCGGATACAATGGACCAAATTGCTATCTGGATATCGCCCCCCCCCCCCCCCCCGACACACACAGAGTAAGAGGGAAGTCCATTGCATATGAAGTATTCAGGTTAAAACAGTGAGATTTAAATTAATTTTATATCATTCACTGCAATTGTGAATTTGTATGATAACGTCATTTATGCAAATAGCATACATTGATATGAATGACATTATTTGCAATTTAAAAGACATTAACCCTGCCTCCTCAATTAGTAATTTCACTGTAATTTGAAATCTGTCCACCAGCAGCACTTCAGGCAAAGCATCAAATTGTTCATTGTAACCTTCTTATGGCTCAGCATGCTTTAAAAATTATTCTGAAGAATGCCTCAGATTCATGTAAGCACATGATCTCTCTGCCATTCATTAAAGCAGCCCAATTTTTCCAAGATTCTAAACAAGCATAAGAAAATATTGTGGCTGTCTAAGGAGTCAGCTCATTAAAGTGAATGTAATATTTTATATAATATAACAATCAGAGTAACCATTTACAACTTCTGAAATAAAAACCTATACACAGCCCTTCAGAATTAATTCCACCACTGATGGAGGAAAGTAATCCTGCTTAAGTTTTATTTATTCTGCTTCGATAAAAAATCAAAGTAGCAGCTTTGGTACATAGTCTTACTTCTTCCAAAAGCAGTTCTAGCAGCAGGCTAATCAATCCTAGGCATGTATACTTAGAATGAGTGGCATGAACTGTTATTCCCAAGATATTCATGGAATTCTGGAAACCTATTTCTAAGTAAATATGCACAGTGTTAAAATAAACACAATAGCATTTAAGTAACAATAATCCATAGTCCACAAATTTCCAAAACTTTTTCTGGATTGTACCTGAAGTTCTAAACTTCTGGCATCAAAATATTATACATATCTTCTATGTAGTCTTCCCTATCCTAGGATCCTCCCACAGATGTTATAGGATCTTAGTTCCTATAACTGGTGGTGTGCTGGAGCCAGCTCTTACCAGCTTGCAAGAGCCAATTGTTAAATTTTCAGGAATTTTGCAAGCCAGTTGTTAAATCCACTGGAATCCAAGATGGCATCCAGGAGGGTGGTCTGTTGGTATGGAGAAGCTGGTGAGGTTTTTTGTGTTTTAGCATGCTTGGTCTTCCTTGGGTGCCCCACAACCACGGTGGTTGTGACAATTCCATACACATTGAGCCTATTGCTCAACATTGAAGGCTCCAAAATGAAGAAAGCTGCACCATTCCATAGAAGGCACCAGATTCATGAAGGTGAATAAATATTCTGTATTCCACAGAGGACACTAGATTCATGAAGGTGGTAAACACTGCATGCCTTCATTTATTATTCCATGCAACCATGGCTCTCTCCATGTATCAAAAGCATACCCAATATATAAGACATGTGAGAGTTCTCTATGCCTCATCAATAAATGAGGAAGAAATGGAGAGAAGTACTTTATACACATTTACATACAATTGTATTGAAATATCAACCAAGAAGCCCTGTTCCATAAAAAGCTGCTTCTTATACTATGTTATTTAGGTTGAGCAGAACCCAGCTGCTAATTCAAGAGGGAAATGTATGGCCCTATCCCAGTGACAGTAAAATATATATTTAGAAATTCAAGAAAAATATATAGCTTTGTTTTGTTTCTCTTCCTCTCAGTATACAATAATATAGTTGTACTGCTGGTCATCAGGAGGTCCAACAGGCAAAAGAATTATGTCAGTCTCAGATGGGAGGATGAGAGAGCTAATACTACACCCCATTCAGCCTTAGCGTTCATACTCTGGGCCTGATGCTGTGTCTTAAACAGTCTTAAATAATCTTAAATAGTCAGGTACGCTGCCATTCTGCAATAATGAATATGTTTCTCTGTTTCTTTGGATCAAGCAAGATAAATACTATTTCTCATTACTCTGGTAACACAACTCTCATTCCCTCCCAAATACTCAACTATTTCATAATTACAGGGTTATCTTATGTTTCTTTATTCCCAAATAATTCTTCCTTTTCACACCACACGTACACACAAGGGAATGCACATATGTATGCATATATATTCCAGTGAGGTTTTGTGTAGAAGTGACCAGTTTAAAATTATTTTAAACTGGCCAAGAAGTCATCTTCTGAAAATATATATTTAGCTGATTAGTAAGAAAACACTGGAATGGGTTTAATAAACTGGTATCATCATATCAGCAATAACAAGCATTATTGCTCTTGTGAATTATTTTGTTATATTTAAGGCTAAAACACACATATACAAAAACCTCAGGCCAGCAAACACTCACAAGGACAAATGGGCGCACTTTATGAATAATCTAATCACTAAGATATATATATTACATCCAGCAAGCGTTAAATGGAGAGTTTAATAGTTCAAATTACACTTGATGGAATAACATATGAAAACATTCAATAATGATAGCTTACTGTTACTACTATTACTACCACTATAGTAGAAAACTTTCCAAAACATCATTTTGAAAATTGTTCTTAATTCATTCATATCTACATGCCAAACTTACTGCAAGGTTAAGATGTTAAGGAGAAAAAGGTGGACAGACTCACAGAAATAACATTTGGCTACTTTCTAAGACACAACAGCTTTCTTCATTTTTGGAAATTTATATTTAATAAGTCAACCTCTAAGATATGAGATGAGTTTAGCTATATATACAGTATACGCTGAAGTATACCTTTCAATACAGTGGAAAAGAATTGGCCGAGGGCTTTCTCTCTCTCTGTTTATGCTACACTAGAAAACCTGTGACCCGTTGGGTCATCATTTGAGAGATATTTCCTTACCTAAACAGAGAAACAGAATGACCAAGGACAAAAAAGCAGTGGGAGTGGGAGCAACTTCCGACTTCCTGCAGGCTTCCCATACAGTGGAAAAGAATCGGCCGAGGGCTTTCTCTCTCTCTGTTTATGCTACACTAGAAAACCTGTGACCCGTTGGGTCATCATTTGAGAGATATTTCCTTACCTAAACAGAGAAACAGAATGACCAAGGACAAAAAAGCAGTGGGAGTGGGAGCAACTTCCGACTTCCTGCAGGCTTCCCCATTTGCTTTCCTTGTGGGAAGCTGGCAGGGAGCATTGGAAATGATGATCACGTAACTGCGGCTGACCGCAGCAGCCCACTGGGTCATCATTTCAGAGATATTTCCTTACCTTACAGAGTTACCATGAAAATTAGGAGCCTTAATGCTTTTAATTACCCGTTTATCATTATAAAGAGTACACTTAAATTATTAGCATTTTTTTGTACTTTGGATTTTTTTTAATGGAAAGGTGGATTTGAACTTCATAAACTAAATGACAATTCAATTTTAAACTTGATATAGTATTGCAGCTTTGATTATAACTATCCCCTCTCCTGCTTTCTTGGATTATATCCAAAATATTTCACATCTAGTTTTGATTTGTCTTTTCTGAGCATCTGATTTTCTCTTCTATTGTACATACAGAAGTGCAAAGTGCTATGGGTACTGTATATGGTCTGAATTAATCAAGGCCTTACAATCCAGGACATTTGATCAGGCAAAACTTTAAATATAATACTGAAGTGGGAGGAAGAGACTGAGATAGCAAGTGTGGACCCACACACAGAAAGATATGTGTGTGTTAAATTGTTTTTAAAATGTTACTTGTTTTATTCATTTGCATTACGATTAAATGTGTACATTAAAAAAAAATAGAAAGCTTAAGGTAGTAATTTGTCTAATGTTTCTAATTAAATTCTATTGTAGAATTGTAACTTAAAAAAAAAAATCCTGCTTTATTTCTCCAAAAGAGTGAGGATTGTTGAGTGACTTATAAAATATTAGAAGCTTATATAATAACCAGTTCAATGAAGAAAAAAATATATTAAATTTGCAGATTGGGATATAGGATTTTGGGCAGAGTATTAGTGACATATTTGAAAACTATGTTCTTTATACTTAAAGTTTAAATCCTGAATAACAGAAATAAACTGCTAGAATTCATACAAACAGTTCCTACAAATGCTGTCTATATGATCTAATAAACCTGTTACCCCTTTTCTATAAATTCCATCAAATTCAGTGATATCCACTAAATATTTGTTTATCTTGCTTATTGAAAACATTTTTATCATTCACGCTAATTTTTACAGAATTCCTGGAATGGCTTAATCTACACACCCCTTCTTTTAAAAAATGGCTTGATTTCTGCCTTTTTCAGCTCCTCTGACTGAAAAAACAGTTGCTGTTTACAGTAGAGCAATTGAAAAACATGAAGGCTAAAACATTAGTTTTCCAGTTTTAATATTTCTATTTTCTTAATCATTGTTATAAATATGTAGTATACTGTATGCCATTAAACACCATTCCCTTTCTCTCTGATGCACACACTCACTTGTGTTGTAAATCATATTTGCATTCTGCCCTTGAGTTTGGCTTGGTGTGATGTGCAGACACCTCTGCTGCAGGAGTGCTGCAGGGGGAGGGGGGGAAACGGAGAAAGTTCTAGGTAAGGAGTGCGGGGGTGCTGCAGGGAAGTGGGGGAGGCCCTGGCAGGCCATGCACAAGTTGGCAGAGGGGAGTGCTGTGGGAAAAGAGGGCACGGGGTGCATGCAAGCACAGGAAGGCTGGCAAGCAGGGTGCTGCTGGGGGTGTGCATGTGTGGGAGAGCAGGAAGGCCAAGGAAAGAGGACACAGGTTGCGTGTGAGCGAAGAGGGACCCAGCAGGAATATATGCAGGAGTACAGGAAGGTTGGGGAAAGAGGGTGCAGTGTGAATGCAAGCGCAAAGAGGCCCAGAAAGGAGGATGCTGGTGGGTGCGTGCATGTGTGTGAGCACATGGGAAGGAGGGTGAGGGGTGCTCCATATATGCAAGCACAGGAAGGCCTGGGAAGGAGGGCACTGGTGGGGGCATACAAGTGTGTGTGTGGGAAGGAAATGCAGGAAGGCCTGGGAAGGAAGGCATGGGGTACATGTATGTATGTGAGCGCAGAGAGGCCCAGGGAAGGAGCTGCAACCTTCCCCACTGACTTTCCTTTTGGGAAGCTGGCAGGGAGTGTTGGAAATGATGGTCACATGACCATGGCTGAGTGCAGCAGTGTGGCAGTGCAGGGTGCTTAAGCAGCCACAACTTTGCCAAATTTCAGTCCCATGGGAGTAATGGGTCCTAGATTTTGGATGCATTCTAAGTTAGCCCATTTGAGGTAACTTAGTTCAAAAATTGATGCCCTATGATGCACCATTTCACCCAATTGAAGATTACAAACAATCAACAGACACGAGAGTTTTAGTAGTATATAGATCATAAGTAGCCAAGAATAATCAACAAGAGAAGCAGTCATAATTTGATACATTCTGGAAGCTTCTACTAGTTTCATTCAAAGCAGGAAAACATTTCCCATTAATCAAAGAGTGAACAGTCTGGCAGATAAATAGGAAGCTAACTTCAAGAAAGTAAATATATCTGTGGCTCTTGACCTATTTTCTTCTGGCAGATGGATGCTCTAAGCATTCTCTAATCCCTATGAGTGCAAACCCAAAATTAAACTATCCCTTCTGCTTCTTTCTTTTCTAGTTTTACTTCTTCTCACCAGGGCTCAGATTCTCTGAAACCATTTTTCATTTTTATTTAGCAAACAAAGTAAAATTGGATTTGAACCAGCTCTAAGGACTGGCTAATTCAATTGGCTGATCTCAAAAAAAGCTAAGCAGGGTTAGACCTGATTAGTACCTAGATGGGAAACCACTAGGAAACCACAGAGCAAAATCAAGAAGTAAAAATAAAAATACCAAAAAAGACAATGGTAAACCACTTCCACATTATTTTCAATAGAATTACATGTCCATGGAGTCTTCAAGCACTGAGCTCAATTCAAGAGTCTTTATTACATCAGGCAATTAAACAAATGCAAAAAATAGTATTCCATCACTCTGTTAAATATGCAGATTAGCTTGCAGATATCAGTGGTTAGAACAACAAAAAGTTCCATGCTGTTTAACCATGACTGCCTATTACTATAATTGACTCAGACAACAACAGTAACTAGAGATCTTTCTTGAAGACTGGGGAGGAAAGACCTTCCTAATATTAGGCCACAGTGCTAAATATTCTTACCTGGGAGTAATCCCAATTCAACTCAGTGGAACTTATTTCTGAGTACAAGAGAGTACTGGTTATCCATCCCTGATATAAAATATTGGGAAACAGCTTAAATCCAGACAAACCATTAATCTATCTAGTTTAGGAATATCTACAGTGATTGGCAGAAGCTCTTTAGCACTTGGAGATGACACAGATTGAATGATGACCATTTATTAGCCAAGCCTATGTTCTGCCGTTAAATGATGACACTCCCCCCCTCAAAATATCTATTGCATACTTTACACCATGAATGCCATTTCCTCTTAACAGGGATTTATTTTATAAAGAAGGATTTATTTTTCAATTTAAACTCACCTCTTTAATTATCTCTGCTCCCTTGGGCTTCTTCATATTAACAGCTATACTCTAGTAAAAATGGAAAAATATAATTCTTTTAATAACATTACAACAACTTTCTATTCAGTTATCCACTTTGAATATTATTGAAAAAGTCCACTTTGAACCTTTCCTAAAAAATGAGTCAGTTGTATCTAATAGCTGTTTCTCCTTTTGACAATACTATATATATATGCATATGCAACAGGAACTACCTAAGTAGAAAAATGATTTTGCACTTCAAAACATTTAGGATTACACGGAGGACATTTCTGTTACCTTTTTATTTCTGTTCACACTGAGAAAATAAACACTTTCAGTTCCAACGAATGGTGGTCCCCAGGATCGGGTATCATCTCCAGATCCTAAAAGCAACAATGGCTAACATTAACAAGCTTTCAGCAATATCCCGTACACTTGTGTGATCACAGTTCATATTCCTGTCCCAAGTTCCAACTTGAATTATAGCTTCAAACTCTTTAATTGCCTACAACAATTATTTTTTTATTTTCAAATGTCCAAAGTTTTAGCACTGAAGACTATGGCTGGATAAGATTCTATCCAATTAAATTGATACAATGTAGATGAAGATATATTACTACTGTAATACCAAAAGTATTATAACCTCTCTCAACTTCTCTAGAAAAGCATGTAACTAGGTAAGAAAGGATTTCTGCATTCACACCACTTTATGATCCAAGTCCCCAAGGATTACACTTCAAAATACAGCTGGTGACTACGCATTTCCAAGTTGTCCACACCCACATAAAATTCCCCTGTGTAAAACAAGTATCAAGCTTGATTAAAGACTTCTCTGATGCACTATCTTTCTAGTAACCCTAAAGTTCTGATGTAGAAAATCATGTTTATGAAGTGCTAAATTCTAAAAGGTCCATATTATATTCCTTATTCCCAAACATATGTAGGAGAATCCTTAGATTTGTACCTGGGAAATGATGTGCTATGCAGAAACACATATACCCACAAAGAATCACACAGACAACATACACACACGTGTGTGTGCGCGCGCACGCATGTGCATGTATGTATGTGTATGCATGTGTGTGTGTGTGTATACACCCACTGTGTGTGTGTGTGTGTGTGTGTGTGTGTGTGTGTGTGTGTGTATATATATATATATATATATATATCAAAGAATCTCTTGCAATAACAGATATACATGATATAAACACCTACAGGAACTACTTCAACATCTGGAGTTCCAAGAAGCAACATGTGCACAGTTATCATGCCAGAGCAAGAGTCTTCATTAAAGACAGATGTAAAAACTAAAAACAGGTGTTGTGTTCCCTTTCCAGAGGTTACATGAGTGTCTGTACAGTCATCTATTGCCTGGGAAGCAGGACTAGAAAACAGTGCATAGAAATGTTTCTGGTACAAGAGAGCACAAATTAAGGGCTATTAGTTCATAGGACTTAATAGCAACAATAACATCCTTCATCGGTGACATCATTGGTTCTGTTATGTTTTTCTAACCTAACATTTGTAGCTAATTTTAGATATGCAGTCACTTTAGGCAAATTTGCAGAACAACACTAACAACTACCTAAAATTATGTGTAATAATTTTTAGCATACTGTGTAGGTTATATCTTACAGATAAATATAGAATATGTTGAAAGTGCATATATTTTCCAAAATATACCAAAGTAGATGTTATTTTTTTTCAACCATCTTTTGAAAAGTAGGAAAATACATGCAGAATTCAGCAGACAGAATCAGGGGGAAGTTTATAATCAATGTCCACACCCTTCACCTTATTGCTTTTCATAACCTTACAATAACTGAGATCATGCTGAAAGACAATTGGGTCACTTGTAGCTCTTTACTCTATCAGGCTCAAAACAACAGATCACATTTATTTTCATCAGTCACTTCAGATGAAAAGCATGATTAGAGATGTTAATAATAATAGTTCAAT